CTTCTGAGAGGATTGGGGAGAGCCCTTCTCCTCATCAAAATTCAGACTCTCCAAGTATATCCTGTATACAAGAGCTCTGGTTCAGAGATGAGAGACCTTTCACATCAAGAATTGTGTTTTTTAGAAGCATCTGTGGGTAGCATTCTGTGCAATCACCTCACAGTCAGAGACAATGATTAAATCTTGCTTGAAGAAAACATTACATTATCACTTAGTTCTTCATACCTAACCAGACCTGTATAATTATACCTAGGAACTTCAAAACTGCCACAGGACTTAGACAAAATCATAAGTTAAATTCATGTCTTCTACTTCAAAAAATGTACTTCTTCAAGGGTACCAAATTACCCTTATTTATTTCCATGCATATTGGCAATAGGTAGTGCCAGTGATGGAAGAATCTTTAGTCTTAGTCTATTATTTACCAGCTTTCTATATAAGAATTCAAGATACATTGGCCTATACTAACATCTTACCAATATAATCTTCACATGAATTGTTTACTTTTGATTATATATTTGGGAGGATTAGATAAGTAGATGTTTTCCGAAAACTTTTTTCTCTTTTATTCTTTCATATGCAGAATGAAGTGCCATTGCCATTCTGAGGTAGGATGGCTGTCTGGTTGACCAAGAACATAATAGGAAAAAGTAGAGAGAATAGGGGAAAACTAACATTTCTGAAATTTGGGGTAGTGGGGGAGATAAGATGGGTTGGTTTGGTCAGAAAAGGCTTCACAAAGGACGTGGAATTTGGGCCTTAAAGATTAGATAGGATCTGGATTGTCAGCAAGAAATGTAGAAGCAGAAGGTATAAGCAAAGTCACAGATTTTAGTGTACAAGACCCCAAGCTAAGTGAAGAGGACATGAAGAAAATAGCCTGGCTCCAATAAAAATTTGGGGACTATATGGGAACTCACCGGAGTCAGAGGCCTCATCATCTTTATTTCAGTATTCTCTGCAACTTTTGCAAAATAAGGATGCATATAGAAAATGATTATTAGATTATTTCAAAGTGTGCAACTAACATTTGTTGAATGCTAATTATGTGTCGATGATTTACAGGGTTTGTAACAGTTAATAGTTAAAACCACTTTGTGAGTTGTAAACATTAAATAACCCCATATTATAGATGAGGAAACTTAAGCTCAAAGAAACCCAAAGTCACACGTCTATCAAGTGTCAGATCCTGGCTCAAAAGTTTAAACTCTTAATCACTATACCACCCAGTATCTCTCCTTTGTTCCTGTTTACCTTTCAGTTTATAAATCTTTTAAGGACCACTTGAAAGGAAATTATTTTAGTTCCTGTACCTCTTTCACCAGAAAGAGAAGCTAGGAAAATATGGATAGAGCTCTAGCATGGGAAGCATTTCCCACTTCTGCCACTAAGTTTAGAAAGCCCCTCCTCTCTGGACCTGTTTAAATTCCATGATCTTTGAGCTATCTTCAGCTATAATACCACATTTTCATACCACCTTATACTGATGGGACAAATGTCAAGCTGAGTAATCTAGTAACCTCAAACTGATCTCTTTCACCAAATGGCTCCTTTCCTTTTTCAGAAGGAATATGTATAAACTAGAGGCCACTGTATATCTTTCACATTCTAGAACCGAATTTCTTTCTTTATATATTCTCTCCATATACACCTACTTGTTCCCCCTTAACACATCTACCGTAGCATTTTGTCCACGTGCCTATAAACAACGTGTTCATACACTCGTCATTTGCCTTTGCATGATTTTTGAAAACATCAAACAATACACTGGGTTATAGAAGGATACTCCTTTGGGTAGAAAGGCATTTTCCAAGTGATTTTTTTCCCATATTTCTAGATAAGAAGAATGTATCCACACCCTCAGCTCCTGGAAAACTTACTTCATGCAGTAATACCATGCATGTTCATTTTACTGCTTTACCTTTATTGTCAAACCCTAAGCTCTAAATTGGTGTGTATTCCTGAAATAAGGCAAGTCTCTAATCAATTAGTTCAATTCATAAAGCATTTCCTGAGAGTACACTTCAAACAAGATACCGTGGAGGGACATAAAAATAAATAAAAGGTGGTCTCTGCTCTCAAGGAGTTTGCAGTTTCAGGGAAAGATAGGAAGAGTGTATGAATCTAACACAAGACTTGGTGTGCTCATTGCCATAAAAATGATGCTAGTAATTACATACCGAATATAGGCTTAGCTCTATGTTAAGCACTGTGTGATGCATGTGGTAATTGTGTGATTGTTAGTGATGCTTAAACCTAAGTATATCAGTAAAGGGGGAAAGTGTATGGGATGTTCTGGTGAGACTTTTGAGGATGAGGCAGGACTTAAGCTAGATGTTATTAGGAAGGGAAACATCAGGATACATGCTAGGAAGAATGAATTAGCATTCCAGGTAACAGTTGCAACATGAATGTGGTAAGAACACTGAGAAGACTATCCATTCTGAAGCATAGGGTGGGCATTGTTGCTTGTGGGCTTCAGTCTTAGAGAGGTAGGATATGGCCAGATGATAGAGGGTTTTGTAGACTTAGTACAATAGAAAATAGCTCTTAAGTTTATGACCTTGAGTGGTGTATTGATATAAGGAAAGATTAATTTTAGAAAGTTTACTTGGGTGCTAGTATGCAGGATGGATTGGAATTTGAAGAGAAAAGAACTGGAAAGAACAGCAAAAAACTGATCATGTGTTGCAGTGGCTTCATGAGTGGTAGTAACACTACAAATGGAGAGGAATGATCAAAGCCAACAGACATTTTAAGTATCTGGAAATAGTCCCACTGTCTAGAGAGATCTGGGAGTAATTTGTATAGAGATGGCAGTTAAATCCATGAAGGTAAAGAGGAATCAGCAAGGGGAGAATAAAACTAGAGAAAGAAGATAAAATGTAAAACTAGGAATCACCTATGCAGTGTTTACATGCATCCACATGGACAAGGAAATAAATAGGGAAGAGAAAGCCAGAGGGTCAAGAATATAACATTATACAATGCTCATACTTTGGGGTAGAGTATCCCAAAAATACTATGAATGAAAGAGTATTTCCTCTATTTTATAGATGAAAAAGCTGAAGCTGGGAAGGTAATGAGACCTATATAAAGTAATAAAGCAGTGGTGACTCAACCTAGGTTTTCCCAGACTCCATTGTGTCATTTTCTCTGTTCTTCCCTATCTCTGAGAACCAATGGCTAGAAAGAAGTGTACATATACTGCAACAGTCACTTCACATAGTTTCGAGGGTTTATGTGAGAACCTAGAATTTTAAAGTAAAGATCTAGGAAAAGACAGAAAGAGAGCCAGAGCTCAACCAGCATACAGTAAGACTAAAATAACGTCATTCTTGGTTCAAGTAGACATATATTGAATAAGTGAAATCACCACTACATAGGCAGCAAGAGCAGGTGGAGTTGGAGGAAGCAGTATGTGTACAGATGGTAGGAGGTGAAGGTGAATTGACTTCCTAAATTCTGTGTTTGTCTTCTATTACCCAGAGCCTGATTTTTTGAGGTATCTTCCTTTTCCAATTTAGCTCTCACCCAGTGAGCTACTTTTGCAGCCTTAGCTTAAGCTCACCTTGGGAGTGAAACCACAAAGTTGATAATTGGGTTTTCAGCTCAAGCCTCAGTGTCTACAATAGCATGATTTTAATTCAAATAATTGCTTGGAGGAAAAGTTTTCTGTGCCAAATAAGAGTGTAAGTTGCAGTAATTAAAAAAAAAAAAAAAAAAAAAAAAAAAGGTAAAAGCATCCTAAGAGCATAATCCCACCAGCCAACTTTTGTAAAGGTTCATCACCAAACCACACCTAAAAATTCTGAAATAGCCAACCATAAGCAAGGAGTGAACATTGAAAGAATTAGCATCACTTCTTTGGGACAGTAAGGCAAGGAAATTCATTGCATTTTCAGAATCATCTTCTAGGATTTTACAGTTGTCTTCTTTGTAGAAATGTTGGGTAGGCCAGATTAGATATATCCTTAAGCACTTGCAACTTCTTTTTCTCTTTATTTGACAAACATAAGTTATCTTCTGTATATCTTTCACTGAAGACGTGGGCCAATACATTTGCTTTCTGCCCAGACTTAAGGGGAAAAATACCCTAAGGCTAGGATTCCAGACAAGACAGAATGTTGTACCTACCATGGGGTCATGATTCCAAAGGCAGACGTTCTCAGAGCCACTTTTATTTTTTCACTTTTCCTGGAAGAAAGAAACTTGGTGTCTAGAATCTGCCTGTTTAACTCAGTGGCATGAGAGCTTGCCAGCCTTCTATGGCAAGGATAACTCACCATGACTGGCTGGCTTCTGTCTTTGGGAATCTAAATTTCACACTTATGAAAGAACACTGAATGGCATATAAAAGACACTATACTGTGCAAAAACTGTAGAGGATGGCCACTATCAACTTTTTTAAAGTCTCAAAATGCCAAGTATATTATTGTGCTGTGAGTATGAGAAAAGTGATTACCTGTACATTAAGCAAGCTGATTCAGAGTGTTCTCTCCCAAAAAACTGGAGGTCAGAAACAAAAACATTTGTACCATAAATGTTGTTGCTTGTTAATCCCAAAGCCTCTTATTTTCTAGACACTGAATTCCTTTTTAGAAATACACCATCATCTAATGTACTCTAATAGCTATCTCAATTATGTCTAGTGGAATAACAGCAAAACAGGGTAATTTTGTAGCAAGATGCAAAACATTCCGTTAAAGTCAGATTATGTTGCTCTGTCATCCTAGATGTTTAAGCCAAATACCAGCCAGTATTATAGATCACATAATGCTGATAAAAAATCTTAGTTCATAATATAGCAGGCTGACTATTCTTAGAATGTAATTGTCTGTTCTGGTTACAAATGCTTCTGTGTTATGCAACAGTCTTTAGAGGTTTGCAGGTATCTGTTGTCTGCAGAGATTGGACAAGAAGGAAAACTGCCAATGAATGAATACCCATCCATATAAGGCATGGGGGCATTTGATCATCTTCATGTTCCAACCTTACAGGTTATCCAGAAGGCTCGTCATCTCTTGCTGTGGAAACAGAAACATAGCAGTTTTCATATTTCCCGCATCTCTCAGACAGGTCAGTATTCTGAGGGAGATATATACAGTGACACCTGGACTGCTAATGAGCAGCCTTGGAAGAATAACTAGAAAAGAAAACGTTCTCATCCTGAGTGAAAAAGATTTTAAATTCTTCACTCTTGTGATGCATGCATAAGCAGAATTTCTATACATAATTTCCCCTGATGGTGTACTAAAAAAAATGACCTTATTCCCTGCAAACTCACACTTATGTCACTTGTGCTAAAAGACTCCAGGGATCCCGAGACACCCAAACATTCCATTAAGGTTATTTACTCTCATACTGTGAATTATAAGCCTCCTCCTGGTGCATTCCAGGTCTCTGAAATGGTACAGATTACAAATAGGTTTCTGTCATGGACTCCATTATATCAGTTAATAACTTACTCTTACCCACTAAGGGCAAAAAAGCACCCTTCCTACACTTTAACCCTCCTAAAATACTATGAACTTGTTAAGCAGTGTCAGACAACTTTACAAATAGGATTCTCTTCAGCCTGGTGAAAAGCTCAACAACCTTCTTTTGCAACACTCACAGATATAAACCCAGTGTAATTAAGTATTAAAAGAATTTTAGTAATAGAAATACCACGGAGCTTGTAGCTCTGATCTGATTACACTTCTAATCCTATCCTCATGAAAAAAGCTAACAATTATTCAGAACCTTATCATTCTGTTCATGGGTTCTCAGGTCTTCATTTCTTTCCCTTACAGAAATTCTGCTGTGTACAAGTGTAGATACTGTATAAAACCTTGTATATGCCAGCCACTTTGGTATGTACTTGATATACATGATCTTATTTAATCCTCACATCAACTGTAAGATGAATGTTACTATTCCCATTTTACTTATGAGAAAACTGATGTGTAGAGACGTTAAATCACTTATCCAAGGATGCATAGGTAGTAAGTGGCCAACCTAGGGTTGTAACTCACGTCAATCTGACCTCAAAGTATGCTATTTCCACAATGGCACTACATGTCAAAGTCTGACATATTTATGATGTTTCTTTATTTATTATCAAAAATTAAAAGAGGAGAGGATTAAATCTGTTTCGTTATCCATAGCCCTGATGAAATGCTTGATGTTTATTAAGACAACTTGTATGATAGTAGTATCTAGATTTGGGTTATCTGTGTTGCTAAACTGTCCATTTTATTTTAGTATTTTCCTAGGGGAAACACTATTACTTTGGCATGTTAACAGATGCTGGAGAGGGTGAGGAGAAATAAGAATGCTTTTAAACTGTTGGTGGGACTGTAAATTTGTTCAGCCATTGTGGAAGACAGTGTGGCAATTCCTCAAGGATCTAGAACTAAAAATACCATTTGACCCAGCAATCTCATAACTGGGTATATACCCAAAGGATTATAAATAATTCTATTATAAAGACACATGCACACGTATGTTTATTGTGACACTGTTCACAATAGCAAAGACTTGGAACCAACCCAAATGCCCATCAATGATAGACAGGATAAAGAAAATGTGGCACATACACACCATGGAATACTATGCAGCCATAAAAAAGGATGAGTTCATGTCCTTTGCAGGGACATGGATAAAGCTGGAAACCATCATTCTCAGCAAACACCACATGTTCTCACTCATAAGTGGATGTTGAACAATGAGAACACATGGACACAAAGGGGAACATCACACACTGGGGCCTGTCACGGGCTTCAGGGCTAGTGGAGGAATAGCATTAAGAGAAATACCTAATGTGGATGATAGGGTGATGGATGCAGCAAACCACCATGGCACGTGTATACCTATGTAACAAACCTGCACATTCTGCACATGTACCTCAGAACTTAAGGTATGATAAAAAAAATAAATAAATAAACAGATGTTAAAGGGAAATAATTATCTGGTGAATAAATTTAGAAAACTATATAGAAGCAAAATTAGAAAGTTGACTTTAGTGTAGGAATTCTCAGGGGTTTTACTACACTAATGAGTTTTCTGACTCACTAAAAGGAGGTTGTGGTGGCCCCTTAAACTTTATTTAACTGTTGGATTCTTTCTTTTTGGCAAATCATGGAACCTAGTATTTAGTGCAGTACTTGACAGGGCCTTTAATATGCTAAGGGACTTTGAAATACATTTTTTATATACTTCCCTTGATAAGCAAAATTGCCTCCAAGCAGTGCCTTTTACAGGGCACTCTGTCCAAATATATTAATAGAGTGATTCATTTTGTGGAAATAAGAAACTTGTGTGTGTGTGTGTGTGTGTGTGTGTGTGTGTGTGATGGAGTCTCACTCTTTTGCCCACGTTGGAGTGCAGTGGTGCAATCTCAGCTTGCTACAATGTCCACCTCCCTGATTCAAGCAATTCTTCCTCAGCCACCCGAGTAGCTGGGATTACAGATGTGTGCCACCATGCCTGGCTACTTTTTGTATTTTTGGTGGAGATGCTGTTTCTGCCTGTTGGTGAGGCTGGTGTCTAACTCCTGACCTCAAGTGATCTGCCCACCTTGGCCTCCCAAAGTGCTGGGATTAGCCACTCTGCCAGGCTTCATATTCTGATAATAATAGAAAAGTACTTAGTAATGCAGGAGGGAAGAGTGGGAGAAGCATTTTTAAACTTATTAAGATATGAAGAATTTTTATAACTATGTAGATAATTACTACAGTGATATTTGTAAAAAGCTCCAAATTGAAAACAACCTGAATGCCCATCAGTAGAAGAATGCATGAATAAATTATATATGTCCAAATTATTAGATATTTAATATATATTTCTCTTCATTTTTAAATGAAATTTTTTAAATAAAAAAAGGATAAAAAATAAAATGAATCCCCCTGTGTCTAAAACTTGAAATTAGTAAATGCTATTTTTTCCATTTTCCCTCAAAATGTTGTATATAAAAAATTATTGCCATATTTTTACCCAAAGAAATGCACTTATTCTAGATTATATTTTCTTCAAAATGAAAAGACAAACTTGAAAAATATTTGCAAACTATACCACACGCAAAATTTAATATGCTTAATTTACAAAGCTCTTGCAAATCAGTAAACAAAAGATGGATTAAAGACTCAAATATTAAGACTTCAAACTATAAAAATCCTAGGATAAAACCTAGGAAATACCCTTATCAACATTGGCCTTGACAAAGAATTTTTGGCCAAGTCCCCAAAAGCAATTGCAACAGAAACAAAAATTGACAAGTGGTACCTAATTAAACTAAAGAGCTTCTGCACAGCATAAGAAATTATCAGTAGCATATACAATCTACAGAACAGGAGAAAATATTTGCAAACTGCATCTGACAAAAATCTAATATCCAGAATCTGTAAAGAACTTAACAAGCAAAAAACAACCCCATTAAAAATGGGCAAAGGTAGTGCGCCCCTCCCTGTGTCCATGTGTTCTCATTGTTCAACACCCGCCTATGAGTGAGAACATGCAGTATTTGATCTTCTGCTCTTCTGTCAGTTTGCTGAGAATGATGGTTTCCAGGTTCATCCATGTCCCTACGAAGGACCCAAACACACTGGGGTCAGTTGGGGGAAAATAGGGGAAGGACGGTGGGGGGTGGGGAGCTGGGGACAGATAGCAAGGGGAGAAATGCCAGATGTAGGTGATGGGGAGGAAGGCAGCAAATCACACTGCCACGTGTGTACCTATGCAACAATTTTGCATGTTCTTCACATGTATCCCAAAACCTAAAATGCAATAAAATAAATAAATGGGAAAAATAAATAAATAAAATAAAATAAATGGGCAAAGGACATAATGAACAGACGTTTCTCAAGTGAAAACATACAAGCAGCCAACACACATATGAAAAAAACGCTTATCAACACTAATCATCAGAGAAATGCAAATCCAAACCCACAATGAGGTGTACTATCTCACACCAGTCAGAATGGCTATTATTCAAAAGTCAAAAAATAACAGATGTTGGTGAAGCTCCAGAGAAAAGTGTGTGCTTATATTCTGTTGATGGGAATGTAAATTAATCCAGCCACTGTGGAAAGCAGTTTCAAGATTTCTCAAAAAAAACACTTAAAAAGGAACTCCCATGCGACCCAGCAATCCCATTACTGGATGTATACCCATGGAAAATAAATCCTTCTAACCAAAAGACTTATTTACATATATGTTCATCACAGCACTATTCACAACAGTGAAGACATGAATCAACCTAAGTGTCCATCAGCAGAGGATTGGACAAAGAAAATGTGGTACATATACACTATGGATACTACACAGCCATAAAAAATAATGAAATCTTATCCTTTCAGCAACATGGATGCAGCTGGAAGCCATAATCCTAAGAAAATTAACACAGAAAACCAAAAAATGCATGTTCTCCCTTATAAGTGGGAGTTAAACACTGAGTACACATGGAAACAAGGATGGCAGCAATAGACACTGAAGACTACTAGTTGAGGGAGGGAAGGAGGAGGTGAGTTGAAAAGCTACCTATTGGATACTATGCTCACTAACTAGGTGATGAGATCTATACCCCAAACCTCAGCATCACCCGATATACCTATCTAAGGAACTTGCACATCTATCCCGTGAATCTAAAATAAAAGATGAAATTATTTAAAAAAATTTTTTAAAGAAAATGGGCAAAGGATACAATCAACAAAATAGAAATTAAAATGAAAAATAAACATTAAACTTTTTCAACTTCACTGTAAAGAAATTAAAATTAAAATAACCTAAAATACTAATTTTTGTCTATTAAGTCAGCCAGTTTTTACAAATTGCAGTACCTATTGTTGGCAAAGACATGCTGAAACAGATGTTCTTATACAATGCTGATGTAAGTTTAAATTCTTACATCATTTTTCTATGGCAACTTGGAAAATGTGTAAAAACCATTAAAATCTCATACTTTTTAAATTCAAAGAAACTTGTAGTACTTTAATTTTATTGTTCTGTATTTTTTGTGCCTTTATAGTACAATAAACTATATGCTTTTATAATATACAATCTGGTGAGTTTTGAAATATGTTTCCATCTGTGAAACCATC